TCCTATTATCAAGCAGAATTAGAGCATTTAGGACACGTGTGATCAAGGGGTGAATAGAAATAATCCTCTTACTGCACAGACCAGGCTGAAAATTGCTTATTTAAAGTGAACGTTTAATTGATCTTTTGTATTAGTAAAAGTTCATCGTGTACAGGGCCTTATTTTCATCATAGAAGCCCATAGGAAGAAAACATTTGGTGCCCAAATGAAACGTTCCTTTGCTAGCATCACCTCTTTTATATTCAACATTTTCATGTATTACTGGTCTGTACCCAGCTTAGATGAGTGTTACTTTGTACCTAAGTTTATTAACACTGGAGCAGGCAAAAATTGGAGCAGTTGCCCAAAGTAACAAATTAGCTTCTTTGCTCATTTTGTTCAGTTAAGCTTTGAAAATGAAAGATAAAAGCTGATTAGTTGCCATTCACAACTGCTCCAAATTTTGCCTGCTTCAGTTTTGCTAAATTCCCTTCAATGTGCGGTAAATGATTGTGCAGGCTAACCGATGCATCTTTTCTAGTGCCACCTATAAGCATAAACCTACTATGCTAAGTGGTAATTCTGGCTTTGATTTCACACAAAATTGAGACATCACATTTGGCTAGGTGTTTTGAAGTACCCTTCAACCTCTCATATTATAAGGGACTGTGGGCATAAGAGCTTTATGTTTTTTGTATACTTCTATGGTGTCCATCAGATGTCCCCATAGATGTCTAAGATGCCATTAGGTGATTCAGATCATTAGTTCCCACCCTTATCTGATCAGTTTTGGATGGACTGGCATTAACACTTGTTTGTGTGTGGCCACCAAGGCCTATATCCCTTTATTGTTTATGTATTTATAGATTTTATTTTTATGAGGAACTGGATTGGATTTCTATGCTATGTGCAAATTATGTCCCTACTTGCTCTAAATAATACTGTACTAAGTAGAAAGCGATGGAAATAAAGATATATGACCACATTTTAGGTGCATTCTAAGTTAAAAAGCATGGGCTGATGTTTTGGACAATTCTGCAGTTTTCTGTTTAGTCTGTCTCTATTTCTATTGGTCATGAGGTATTAGTAATTATGAGGACACTGGTGTCAATGTCAAAACTTAGGTTTCTTGAATAGATAGGAGATTTTTAGCCTGCTCCCTCCTCAGATCAAGAGGTGCCAGTTGAGGTGGTTTGAGCATTTCATAACGGTGCCCCCTGTGGTGTTCTTCTGGTAGTTCTACTAAACACATTTAACTGGGAAGAGTTTAACTGAGGAAGGTTTAGGATATACTGGCAGTATTTTACCTACTGGCAGCATGGGAACACCTTGGAATCACCCAGAAAGAGTCTGTGTGCTAGGTTGAACAAAGAAAACTCTGGACCTGTGTGTTCAGAATACATGTTTTCTATATTATTATTGTTTATTATATAGTTACATAGTAGGCAATATTTAATAAAGACACAGATTAATCATGTTGTGTGAGTGTGTGTGTGTGAGTTTCTGTGTGTGTGTGTGTGTGTGTGTGTGGGTGTTCCTATGTGTGTGGGTGTATTGCTAGCAATTTCCATAGCCCTGTATGTTCTGGAAACTGAGGAACTCATCCAAGTGTTTTTTGAAGCTGTCAGTGCATTCTACTGATACAGCTAACTGCAAAAGTAAATTCCACATTTTTACCAGTCTCACATTAAAAAACCCTTTGCACAGTCTGAGATTATACTGCTACCCCTCCAATTTATTGCTGTCACCCTGTATCTTCCTAAACATTATTGTCCTAAATAGTTTATCCCAATACTGCTGTTTGCATTGATGAGTTTGTAGACTGGAATCATGTCTCCTCATAGGCATCTCTTTTCTAAGGAGAAAAAGTTTAATTTTTGTAGTTTATCTTCATAACTCAGGTCCTCCATCCCCCTTATTAATTTAGCTGCCCTTCTCTGAATTTTCTCTAACTCATGGACATCTCTCCTAAGGATTGGTGACTAAAACTGAACCATGTACTCAGGGGCGTAACTAGAAATCACAGGGCCTCATAGCAAAATTTTGTATGGGGCCCCGTGATTGCTAGTTATGCCACATTTCAGAGCCCACCTGATATACCAAACAGCCCACCGGAGAGTGAACCTGCAGAGCCCACCATAGACTCTCTATAGTGGGCTCTGCAGGGTCTCAGATGGGCTGCACACCTCTTACTTGTCTGCGCTGTCTGCCTCCGTGGTCACCGGGGCCCCGCCTCCCCTTCCGTCCCGGGCCTTGCCTCCTCTTCTATCGATGAGCCCCGCCTCCTCTTACATCACTGGCCCCACCTGCTCTTAGGTCTCTGGCCAGTAATGTAAGAGGAGGCGGGGTTGCTCTTAGGCGGGCCCCGCCTCCTCCACTGCGAACGCTGGCCTCTTCTGCCGTGGCTGCTGGCTGTCACTGACAAAGCTCCGCAGCGGCTGTGAGGGGAAACGCCGCTGCTGAGCTGTGTCAGTGACAGCCAGCACCCTTACATGCCATACCGACCCAGGCGGCCCACACGGCATCAGAGGGATGCCCTGGCCTGGGCCCCATAGCGGCCGCCTGGGTCGCTATGGCGATTGTTACGCCACTGCATGTACTCAAGATGTGGCCGAACCAATGAGTCTGTGGCCTAGAAGTACCCATAGATCTTTCTCCATCTTTGATTTCCTTAGCTGAACCCCTTTCAAAGGGTATTCTGCATGCAAGTTCTTAGCTCCTAGGTGCATGATTTTAAATTTTTCTAGATTGAAACTCATCTGCCATGTTGCTGCCCACTCCTCAATTTTATCTATGATCTTGCTGCAGTGACTGTATGTCTTGTGACCTTATTGCACTGTATAATTTCGTGTCACCAGCAAACACTGTGAGTGAGCTATTTATTCCCACCACTATATCATTTATGAAATAGATAAACAGAATTGGCCCCAGGACTGAACCCTGGGTCACTTCACTTACCACTTTGGACCAATTAGAGAATGAGCTGTTTATTCCTACCCTCAGGATATATTCTTGCAACAAGTTTTCTACCCATGTGCATACAGTTTCTTCAATGCCAATAGCCCTTAGTTTGTAAATTAACGGTTTGTGGGGTACAGTATTGAATGCCTCTGCAAAGTCCAGATAAACCACCTGCGATTCCTTTGTCCATTTTAAGAACTCGCCTCCTCATCGAATGTCAATAGGTTTGTCTGACAAAAATGGTCCTTCATAAATCCATTTATTAGCGTTTAGGTTTTCTAGCCTTTTTCTCACCTTGACCTCTGTTAGCCACTAAGATTCCTCCAGTCCATAGTGGAATTTCTACTTTGCTTATTATATCCTTCTCTCTCTTTTTTGTTACATTCCATGTAGTGCTTGAATGCCATTGATGACTTTTCCATCTTATACTTTTTTCTCATTTATGAATCTTTTAATGCTGGAGTTTAACCACCCTGGTTTAACTTTTGCCCTTTTAAATGTATTAGTTAACGGAATGCAATGGTAAATATTGTTGTTTAATATGTCCTTAAAACACTCCCATTTGTCTTCCGTGTTCATTGTCAGGAAGATTTCATCCCATTCGATATTGTTTAGTAAGTATCGTAGCTTACTAAAGTTGGCCTTTTTTATGTTTAGTGTTCTTGTCATTGCTACTTGTCTCAGCTCCACCAAAAAGGCTGCAAATGTAATTACCCTCTGATCACTATTTCCCAACTTTTCCCTTATATCTACATCTGGGATTATTATAATTTTTTTATTATACAGGATTTATGTAGCGCCAATAGTTTGCACAGCGCTTTACAATATAAGGAAGACATTACAGTCACAATACAATTTAAGACAAGATGGTAAGGAGGGCCCTGCCCCTGAGGGCTTATTAGTTCTGTATTATTAGAAATCAGTCCAACAGAGCACGATTTCTTGTTGGTGTGTCCACCATTTGTCCCATGAAATTCGCTTGTAGAAAATGTATGAAGTGACGGGCCTTTGTTGAACATGCAGCTCCGCTTGCCCAATCAATATCAGGATAGTTGAAGTCCACTTTGTTTTTAAGAAAGGTTACCACTTTTATAATTATCTTTTGTGCATCAATTTTTGGTCACGAGATTGCCATATATGAAGGAGAGGATAGCAGACGATAAACTGACAGTTCACTTGAAACAACTGTAAAATGTGCAGAGTTATGTTTGTGTTCATTTACTAATTGAAAGTTGTCTGTCATATGCCACTTACTCAGCTTCATGTTTCTACAAAGTTCAATACGCAATTGAGTATTAAAGGCAAGTGCTGAGTCAGGCCTCATTCCGGCGTCTTGTTCACAGGGAAAGTAATAATGTGTGACAGGAATGAGCAACTCTGCAGCCTCTTATACAACACATGATTATGCAAACTAGTTGGCTTTTTCCTAGAAAGACCCTAATTGCTGCATTAGGGAACACTGATGTGAGACTTGTTTTGGTACTCATTAGAGGCAACGTGGAAGATCTGATAAAGTCACAGCTTTTTCTTTTTTTTGAGAACCAGAAGATGCATAATAGCAAGTGGAGTCAGTTTAGTTTAATGAACATAACCTTATAGCATTAATATTTTTATCAAATTATATAAAGTAAACCAGCCAGGGAACAAATTGTATGGCCCACATATGCAATAGGAATCAACCTAAAAAAAGTACTTGTGCCATAGTAGGATAGTCTTTGTTGCAGAGAGTGAAATGGTTAAGACTATGACAAGGCAATTAACTGCAGGGAATACTGATGTAAAATAAATCATAGCTGTTGAGCCAAATGGCAGCTGCAGTCTGCGGCACAAAAATGAATATTATTATAAACTGACAACTCTCCAAATGTCTTGCTAATTTAAATTCAGACTGGCCACTGCACTGTAACCCTCAATGCAGTCTTCATAAGTACACTCCGCAAATTGCCTGCTAAGGTGTCTCTTTTTGGCCTGAAAGTTAACCTGACTTTTGGTTATCTGCAGAGCCAATGTTTACTGTAGTTGCTATAGAACCCATCGTCATTTCTTGTTTCCTTTCCCAGGTGACAGACATGATGCAGAAAGCCCTTTTTGACTTCATGAAGCACAGATTTGACGGCAGGTGAGACAGTCTTATCTTTTAAACATCACTACCTTTCCATATTTGTGGATCTTGTAGCTTTCTGATTGCCGGAACCAGATAGCTGTCTGTTCATTGGCTGGTTGGCATTTGTGAACTGTCTTAATATTGAATACACATTCACTCAGTAATTAAGCTGATAACTATGTGTTATCATTCATTACACATCATTATAGATTACTGTGCAGGTATATTAAATAACCAGTTACTAGATTATATTTGCCCTGATACAACAGAGAGCCATGAGGTATCTAATGGCATGTAGAGGTTATTACTAAGTAAGATTTATTTCCTAGTTGGGTACCAGTCATGTACAAAGTCATGACATGTACCCAGTTAACATACTGTTTAAAGTATGTGGGTATATTTTACTTCTACCAATACACTTGGAAGATTTTACTGGTGCCCAATGCTTTTCATATTAAATTACATTGCTTGAGATTATTCTTATTTTGATGATGGATTGTCTCTGTCTGGCCAATATACCACTTACAGTGTGAGTGTAAACATTTACGTTTGAGGAGATGTTGGCCATATCCCAGTCAGTGCAGTTAATGACCCACAACAGAAAATAGCTACTGAAAAAGTAATCTATGATATAATGTCAGTGAAGTTGCTAAGGACAGGCAGTTAAGTTTGTGTCAGGCAGAGACTGTAACAGTAAAACAACATGGAGTATGCAAAATTTACAAAAGGGTGAAGTGTTTGGAGGAGGCAGGAGAAGTGGACATTCTAGGACAACATAGCTGAACTGGAAAGTGAGCTGAATTGGAGAATTTTTCCAAATCAGCTACTTTGGCCAAGATTGTTCACTTCTTCTGCCTTCTCCAAACCCTTCACCCTTTTGTTAATAGACCTGTTAATTATTTTGTTGTCCAGTTAGATTTCACAGAAATCCACATTGCATACCTGTTTTAATCGTATTCTTGGAATATATTATACAACCATAGGGAACGCAACAAAATACAATGCATATACCACATATAGTATACTGTATACACTATATTGCCAAAAGTATTGGGAAACCAAGCCAAATCATTGGATTCAGGTGTTCCAATCACCTTTATGGCCAAAGGTGTATAAAATCAAGCACCCAGGTATGCAGACTGCTTCTACAAACATTTGTGAAAGAATGGGTCACTCTAAGGAGCTCAGTGAATTCAAGCGTGGTACCGTGATAGGTTGTCACCTGTGCAATAGGTCCATCCCTGAAATTTCCTTGCTACTAAATATTCCACGGTCAACTGTTAGTGGTATTATAACAAAGTGTAAGCAACTGGGAACAACAGCAACTCAGCCACAATTTGATAGCCCATGTAAAATGACAGAGCGGGGTCAGCGCATGCTGAAGCGCACAGTGTGCAGCAATCGCCAACTGTCTGCAGAGTCAATAGCTACAGACCTCCAAACTTCATGTGGCCTTCAGATTGGAACAACAACAGTGTGTAGAGAGCTTCATGGAACGGGTTTCCATGGCTGAGCAGCTGCATCCAAGTCTTACATCACCAAGTGCAATGCAAAGCGTCGGATGCAGTGGTGTAAAGCACGCCGCCACTGGACTCTAGAGAAGTGGAGACACGTTCTCTGGAGTGACGAATCACGCTTCTCTGTCTGGCAATCCGATGGACGTGTCTGGGTTTGGTGGTTGCCGGGAGAACGGTACTTGCCTGACTGCATTGTGCAAGTGTAAAGTTTGGTGGAGGGGGGATTATGGTGTGGGGTTTTTTTCAGGGGTTGGGCTTGGCCCCTTAGTTCCAGTGAAGGGAACTCTTAAGGCATCAGCATATCAAGACATTTTGGACAATTTCATGCTCCAAACTTTGTGGGAACAGTTTGGGGATGGCCCCTTCCTGTTCCAACATGACTGCGCACCAGTGCACAAAGCAAGTCCATAATTACATGGATGATCGAGTTTGGGGTGGAGGAACTTGACTGGCCTGCACAGAGTCCTGACCTAAACCAAATAGAACATGTTTGGGATGAATTAGAGGGGAGACTGCGAGCCGTACCTTCTCATCCAACATCAGTACCTGAGCTCACAAATGCGCTTCTGGAAGAATGGTCAAACATTCCCATAGACACACTCCTAAACCTTGTGGACGCCTTCCCAGAAGAGTTAAAGCTGTTATAGCTGCAAAGGGTGGGCCAACTCAATATTGAATCCTACGGACTAAGATTGGGATGCCATTAAATTTCATGTGCGTGTAAAGTCAGGCGTCCCAATACTTTTGGCAATATAGTGTATATTTATAGTCTAAAATATTTGTGCTGTATTAATATGTTTTTATAGGATCTCCATCACCCGGGTAACAGCTGACTTGTCGCTAGCCAAGCGCTCTCTACTTAATAACCCAGGACGGAGAGCCATCATTGAACGCTCAAGTACTCGCTCCAGCATAGGTGAGTACACAAACAAAGAGCATGATTTTCTCCTGAACTGCTCAAATATCTCAGTTTATATATCAAAAGCTGGCTGTATTCACTTAAGGATACAAAGAGCAATGTTGATGTGCTGAGTACAGTAACATATAGCCATTAATTTAGATATGAGTCAAATGTAGTAAAGTCTAGTAAAGATTACTTTATTTTGATGGTTGTGGGCTCATGTGCACCCCACTGCATTGCTTTCTGGAATACGTCTGTATAGGTGGCCAAAGAAGTGTTGGCAGGAATGATCCCTGCCTCCTTCTGGAAAAAGTGTCTGCAGAGCACGCCATGACCATGTACGCTTGGCTTAGCTGAACATACAAATTTATTCCAGGCGGAGGGGGTGCTGGTAAACTAAACATTTAGAACAGGGGGAATAGTAGTGATCAGAAATGATTTCTGTTTCCAGTAATAATTTCCCACAAAGAGTGGTCACCTTGCAGTGATTCGTCATTAACATAATAATAGCATCATAAATCTGTTGAGCAATTAGAACAGATAATAAGAATCACTAACTAAGATGAAGATGTGCCTTTTATTACTAAATTCACTGGAATTGATTTGACTACTGAACCCAATTTAAACCGATAGAAACCCAATGCCACTTTTCACCCTTACTATGCTGACATTTTATTTCAGGCCATGTGCAGTGGATAGGATTGTTTTCTTTTCCATGAAGAAAGGGTAACTATCACTAATTAGATGCAGGTATTTTCCAGCATACTGAAAAACATGTGCAGGTGATAATAAGGTGCTTGATGCTGCTCGCAAAGGTGACCATTGTTGCAAGCAATACCCGGATCATTACTTGTAAAAATTAGGCCACTTATTTTAGTAGTGCAAATGTCAACATGACCTAAGCTTCAGCCACAACTTCTAGATGGCGTATGTATTTAATGAAACCATAATATTACAGTAAGTGTGTTCCTTAATGGAAACATTCTCTTACACAGCGGAGGTACAAAGTGAAATTGAGAGGATATTTGAGCTTGCCAAGACTCTCCAGCTAGTTATTCTTGATGCGGATACAATCAATCATCCTACTCAGCTGGCCAAAACATCCTTGGCACCCATCATCGTCTATGTCAAAGTTTCTTCTCCTAAGGTAAGCAGAGGGGTAGCTCAAGTGGCTTATTCAGGCTGCGTTTGTACGTGTGTGAGCAGTTATTTGCGCGTTTTTATGCATTGTGTGCAATTTGATATGCGTTTTCATGCGCGTTAATGAAGACGAGCAGTTTGACCGGCAGTTTATGAAAAATTGCGGGCAATGGAAGAATGCACGTTTAAACGCGCAAAAACGCTCACAGAAATGTGCAACATGCTTCTGCCATGCGTTTTTGGGCATTTCTATTGAAGTCTATGGGGGCACAAAATGAGTTTTTAACTGCCCAAAGAAGCCCACGTACCTTTTCGGGCGTTTTGCGTTTTCCTGCTAGTGTTTTTCTACTCAGGTGTGAACAGGGGCCATTGAAAATCATGAGATTTCTTGTGTTGGGCAGTGTTGGAGGTTGGAGTTGGAGGTGTTTTATAGTTTTTTCTTTATATTCCTACATGTCTAAATGAGAATGCAGGGGGGCGTGGCCAAGCCATGGATGCGTGAGGAATAAATCCCTGAAGCTCCGGGCCCGACTACCTACAATCCACACTCTTTCCGTCCTCCCCCACCTCTTCATCCACCCATGTCTAAGAAGGGCAAACAGAGGGGGCAACGGTCCACGCCGAAAACAGCTTTCAAGAAGCTTTTCGTGCGTCCGGACACCCCCACGGACATGCGGCCTTCCTCCAACACCACATCCCCGGACTTTCCTACGGCGCGATCGCCGAGACGTGACGTACCGTCGGCGGTGGGAACGGAGGCATCAGAACGGCGGCTACGACCAGACCGCCGGGTCCACGGTGAGCCCTCATCCTCTCTTCCCCCTGGAGCCATATCTCCCGAGGCTCTAGCAGATCAGTTGGGAGGGAGCCCGGCCGCCATGACACCCCTGCTGGACTGCCTTGCAAGCCCGTCCTGCCGCAGCCCACGGCCTCCACCGCTGACACAGCAGTCAGGGAGCTATCCCCGGCCACGCAGATCAGAGACCCAGCAGGGCTCAGAGGACTACAGGGCTGCCGATCAGGCCTCCCCCTTGGCACCTCACCCACCCAGTGATGCCTGTCCCTCTCAGCCACCATTGCCCCAGGGAGAGCTGGACTGGTCCTCCCCCCCTCTTCCACTGGCTACTGGGGACTCCTCAGACTCCTGGCAATCAGACCCACAGTTGGGCTCCCTCTGCCCCCCTGGGAGCTGGCACTCCATGCAGCGTGGTCAATCACTTCAGCGGAGGCACGACGAAGCACTTCGTGGAGCAAAGAATCCATCCTCAGGCAAGTTGTGTTGCAGACGATCACTGCTGAAGAGAGCTTCTGACCGTAAACATTTAAAGGTGAGTCCCGCAACTGATTGGTTGTTTACTTTTCCCTCCAAGACTTAGGTAACTAATCACGACCACCTTATTTCCAAAGATCTTCCTAGCGACAGCCATCTCCAGGCAGAATTGACATGACACTATTAAGGGCACCTGGAAACAGACAAATGGGAAACCAGAAACAGCCCAACGGAAAATTTCAGAAGACTGTACCTTATCGTGACTAAAACTATTGTTGGATTAAAATAATAATTTAATTGAATTAAGTGGGTGCAGGGGATGACACAATCCCATGGGGCCACTTCATTATATTTGTGGCCCTGACATTCCAAAAGCTACTTAAGTGATTGGCGCCCAAATTATTCAAACCAACTCCATGTCAAGGATCCTGCCCCAAGAGTGGATGCATAGATTGGGACATTCAGGGATGTACTCCTCCTAGAACACTTTTGGGGATTATCCCACATCAACTTGGGATGAGTAGAGCTAAAGGCAAATATGCCACTGTTAGGGTTCCAATTTTAGAGTTCTCTGGGATTCGATCGTGCTAGTACTGAGGCCAGTCACTATGGGGCAGCAGTATACCTCTGTCTCCTGAGTCATTATTGTGAGTATCTATCTTAACCATTCTACACTATTGTGCCTGGAAAGTATTTTAAAATGTTAGCAACTTGGCTTTAGCATCCAGAATCATCTGTTCTTTAATGTATTAAATGGATATTGAAAGCCAAAAAGTACAGTGGAAGGGGACCAAAGACATGTAGGCTGTTATAGAAGAAATGAAACCCTTTGTAAGAGGAGAAGCCAATTGTATATTGCAGATAATCACTTTTCCCTGAATGTACAACACAGGAAAACGTCGGCTCCATTATCATTACCATTCCTGGCAGTTAATGTCTGTCCACAAAATCAATTCCATTTTAATCTGCTCGGTGTCTGTAAAATCAACACAACTTAGTGCAATGCTAACTCCTAATTCCAGCACCGCTGAATGTTAGAACAAGTCATCTGAGGATATGTTAACTAAGATAGCTGGGATGGTAAAAGCTACAATTAGCATTCCTCACTAATGAAACGTATTACAGGACATCAAAGATTGCTGTAAATGGAGAAGGAGCTCAGAGTGGAATGGGGATTAATGAATATTCTTATTGTTCTGTTTGCTGAACTGTACAGTACTCTCTCCTGCCAGAAAAATGTAATACAGTCCAAGACAGCTTTGTTCTTAAAGTACACCTGTCATGAGACGAATACACACTGTCATTTCTCCTTCTGAAAGTGCTTGATGCTTTTCTTTTCATGCTGATGCTTTGGCTTCAATGCTCTCTGAATCATTGGCCCAAAACATAAAGTGACATAGGGAATACTGACACTTTTCTGACACTTGTGTCCTTGTTCCAGGTCTGTGACTCAGTTTAGTTTGTTTTATACCATTTTCTTTGTCCCTTTTATTAAACTTGCTACTGCCATAAATGACACTATTGTTCCAATTAGGGATACCAATACCGGTTTTTTGGTATCGAGTAACGATATTTTTTTCCAGTACTCGCCGATACCAAATACTGATATCGGAAGTCCCATTAAGGAAGCCAGGTGGCGTGTAATGACTCGCCACCTGGCTTCTTGATTAGCCGGCAGGGCGGGAAGCATGTAAAGACTCGCCACCCGGCTTCCTGATTAGCAGGGAAGCCGTTTCCATGCTTCCTCCTCACCAGTTGATGAGGGAGCATTGAGCCGTCTTTCTGGCCAATCGGAAAGCTGCGGGGCGTGTAATGACACGATGCCCGCCTTCTTGGTCGAGAAGCTAGCCAATCAGGAACCCAGGCAACCTGTCATTACACAGCGTCTGGCTTCCTGATTGGCCGGAAAGCAGGCTCCATGCTGCCTCGTCATCAGGTGAGTATGAGAGGGAGCATGGAGTCGGCTTCCCGGTCAATCAGGAAGCTGGGCAGCGTGCAATGACTCGCTGCCCGGCTTTCTGATACCGGAAGCTCGAGTATCAAGCTAGGCATCGGAGCATTTGGGTGAGTACCAGTACTCGCCCAAATACTCAGCATAGTCACCGATACTAGTATTGGTATTGGTGCGTCCAAAGTTACAATGTCTGTTACACTTGTAAGCTAACTGTGCCCTAATGTGCAAGTATTCTTTGCATACTTGCACATTAGCGCAAAAACACACCCTTCTGACAGCAGTTTACTACCACTTTCATTGTACCTAAGCAGCATGCTAAAAAAAAATTATTTGGATGTCCAAAATAGCATTGCACTGCCTTGTATGTGAGTGTGCCAAGACAATTTTGTACTGTAGCCTCATAATTGTATAAATGCAATGTGAGATCTAAGGCATTGCTGCCTTCGGAGATTTGTAGTGACATTTGGTGGGGGAAAGAGAACTGCTCACTGTCAAGAGGCCCTGACATGCGGAAGCAAAGCCCTAGTAAAGAGGCTAAGATGGCCTCCTTGACACTGTGAGGAACAGGGTATCTTAAGTCAGTAATGTGAAGGGATCAGCTGCAGGAAAACAACAGAAAATTCGGGTGATCAGGGATGAGCTCAAGTTCAGCCCAAACCCATATCAAACGTGGGATCCTCTGAACCCAGAAGGAGCTCCTTCTGAAAATGGAAGGAAGCTTTTTCCATGCCGCCCAATCAGCTGCAGGTGGTTAATTCCTCGCCCTCAGCTGATTGAGTGACCAGGGTGACCCCAGGATCAGCTCAGGTTCAAACTGAACCCAGTCCAAACCTGAGATCCTCTGAACCAGAAGGAGCTCCTACAGAACACCGAAAGAAGCTTTTTTCAATTCCGCCCAAGCAGCTGCGTTGGGGAATTCCTGGCCCCATCTGATTGAATGACCAGGGTGATCTCAGGATGGGCTCGGATTCAGACCGAACCCAGTCTGAACCTGACATCCTCTGAACCCAAAAGGAGCTCCTTTTGAACATGGAAGGAAGCTTTTTTCCATGCTGCCCAATTAGCTGCAGGTTGAGAATTCCTAGGCCTAAGCTAATTAAGTGAAAGTGTCCATGGCATTTCCTTGTTCAGAGAAGTTCATCCCTACTGGTGACTAGTCCAATGCCCTATGCCATACGCCTGTCTTTTTTTGGGCATAGGGTCCAGAGTTCAGTTCCTCTTTATGTTGGTGCTATATGTTTAGCCCTTACTCTTTAGCCTAACTCCTCTCCTGACTCTACCTCTAATTAAACTCCACCAGATCTATACTTGTGTTCTTTTGCACCAAAAGTATCTGAGCTTTCGACCTCAAGATTGGCTGCTGGTATGCGAACACCTGACTCCATTCAATGTTTTATGTTATCATTAAGATCAATTTAAAGGTCTACATTTATTTCTTTCTGAAGTCCTGGGAAATGTTCCCTAGCTCTTTCTTCCTTACAATCCACTCCTATGCTAGTAATAATTAAACAGGTGCCAAAATTCCATCAGGAGCCAGCGCTCGTTAAACTTTCACAGAACGCATGTTTTTCTAAGGTCTAAGCGATTTTCTCAGCTTTGGTTACTTTGTAATCATTCAGAACCAGGGACACAATAAACCTTCAAAGGCTGAAGACCAAAGACTAACAGAACCAGATGTATTTCCGTCTGCCTTTTACCGCTTGTTCTTACAGGTCTGTCGTTTTATAGAAAAGAAAATGTTTGTTGTTGAAATTGTGCTTAAATGTGTTTAAAGCGGCTACTTGCGGAATATAAACACCTCCAAGAAGTAAATCTCAGATGCTTTGGAGCAATTACAAGACAAGGAGTAAACCGGGTGAAATGAAAGCAAAATAGTCCAGGCTGTGTATAAAATATAACTCAAGTTACAGATCATTAAAAGAGCATTTCAGGTGTAAAGAAAGACTTCCATGTACAGCAGTGTCAAAACGTCTGCGTATACTATACAGGTATATAGATCAGCTGCTAGACTTATATTTATGGATGCATTTATAAAGCAGCACATCAATGTTTTCACCACTGATTTCCCATTGGGAGGTTGCTGCATTGGTAAAAGACATTTGCCACCCACATTCACCCGTCAGCATGAGTCATTT